TTAATAAAATTGGAAAGAATAAATTTTAAAATATTACAGCAAAAAACAAAGCTCCATGTTCGTGTGAGTGAATTTCACACGAAACAATGAGACTCATCGGGTAGAAGACAATCCACCTCTTTTTTTTTGCAGCTAGTAAAACGTTGGACACATGTAGATAAAGAATAAGAGATAACTTGAAAATAGGGTAAGTAAAATAGATAACTTGAAAATAACATATAAAAAATTAATACAAATATATAGCCTCCACGATTGCGTTAACATACTCCAAACAAAACGATGAGAACTCCTAGTACAATAGCGAAGATTCACTAAACACATAGATAATGGAATAACGCTTGGAAATATCTATATTACAAAAGAGACAAAAATATATAGCGTAAATCAAGATGTAAATATATCATTGAATATAATTTTAAATATATACACAAACAATAATAACGAAACAAAAATATACCAACATAAACAAAAAAATAAAACATACCATTATGTGTTTTCACACTTGAACAAATATAATAAGATAGAACCTAATTTTAAACAAAAAAAAAATATCAATTAGAATACATGATCATATTAGACACGAAAATACGATGATTTTTTTTTTTTTAAAAGATCTGGTTGTATTTCATATTTTAGGAGCCATGAAGGTATAAAATCATAAAGCATAAAGAAAGTGAATTACACTAGAGGTTAAGTACCTCTGAACCATAAAGCTAGAGCATCCTCAAAATCTTGTCTTCCCTTTCGAGCCAGACACGTATTTCGAACACCTCTATCCACCCTCTTAAACAATTCTTCCGCAAGGAGAGCATTGTTGTTGAAGATGCGATCATTCCGTTGTTTCCACRAAGAGTAKATAATCTCTTGAGCCATAAGAAGCCTCAAGTTGTTTTCAGCAGCGGTTGGGTGACTTCTCCTTAACCATCTCTCGAAGACTGCCCAAGTACCAAAGCCTACATAAGGAGCATTGAGCCTACGAAATCCCATTCTCCACACATCTTGGCTATAGGGACAACTAATGAATAGATGATCCCTAGTTTCATGATAAATCTCACATAGAACACAAGTAGTGTATTCAATAACTCCCCATTGTTCTAGCTTTGCTTTGGTTGCCATTCTATCAAGACAAGTCAACCAGAGGATAAAAGCGTGTTTAGGAACATGACCCGAGAACCAAA